CTGCAGTTTCTCTTTGAAGACATGAGTGCTCCGAATATATAACAAAGGACTCTGTCAAAACAGCACTTTTCTGACCCAGGATGCCCTTCCTCTTGACTCATTCCCTCCTGATCAATATTTCTTCATCCTCTAAATCCTAAATTTGTGTAACTCAAAACTTGGCACTGAATGGGTCCTTTGCAACAATCAAAGACAGGCTGAGATACAGAGCTATTTTTTAAACGAGTTTCTTAGTTACAAAGACTCAGCAGAGGTGGCGAGGGGCAGTGGGCACCCCTCAGCCCTGGTCACCCCAGTGTTGCCTCCAGACCTGCCCAGGACCCTGTACATGGGCAAGTCACAATGTCCTTAGGGCCACAGTGTCCTCATCTGCAGGAGACAATGAATATGTCTATTGTGGAAAAGACTCTCCTTCAGTTTGTGAAAAAGATCTTGTGAAACAGTGCTGGAAGACAGCAAACACCACAGCACAAGCCAAATGTGGTGGAGGTGGGGCTGCGGCAGCCCTTTGACAGACAGCCTGCATTTCCCACCCAAGTTTAAAGTTGTTCACCTAATATCTGCACATTCCCTACTCCCTGAACTGCCTCTCAGGCCTTTCAGGGTTGATCACTCAAGTAATCCAGTGCCAGGTAGGCTGCCGCAGCCTGGTGCTGACCCCGGGGGAGGGGAGCTTACTCGAGTTGGGCTCCAAACCTGGTTCCAAAACCCCAGCTTTGACAGAGGGTGATTAGAATGGCTGTAACGAGGCACAGTCACTCCATCCAACTGCAATATCGTCCCTCAAGCTTAAGAGCAAAATGAAATAAGAAAATCTCATAAAGGGGTGTGGCCTTAATCAGGCTGTTCCTGCCCTGTATTTCTCCTCCCCTTCTATTCCAGCTTGAAAGACTTAAAACTCTACTTCCTGAGTCCCAATTTCATTTATGTATTTCCCTCTAACTTTCATTGGGGTCATACGTGCAGCCTTAAGACAGCAAAATAGTGGAGAAAGATTTACAGTGAAAAGCAACAATCCCTCATTCCCTCTTACCCACTTCTCAGAGCCACCACTTTAACCACTTCGAGGTCTGGTGGTTTCCACCTTAACATGAATCAGTGTCTTTATATTGTTATTCACTGATGCATACATTTAATACATTATTAAATCCTGGATAGGAAAGAGAAAGGTTTAGCTTACTTAGAGTACACTTGATTCATTTCAATTTCAGAGCCTTCAGTTCTACTTTTCCTTATCAATCAACTCTGAGGTATAATTTATGTATAAGAAAATGGAGCCATTTTAAGTGTCCGGTTAGATGAGTATACCCATATAGCCATCACCAGTGTTGAGATAATCAACATCTCTATCACCCCCAAAGTTCCCACCTGTCCTTCTATAAACGCATCCTACTTCCCAGCCCCAGCTGACTACCAATCAGCTTTCTGTGACTATAGGTTAATTTGGCCTGCTCTAGAATTTTATATAAGTAGAATGCTACAACACGTGCTTTTATGTACCTGGCTTCTTTCAGTCCATAAAAAAATTTGAGTATCACCCCATACATAAGTTCACCAGTTCATTTCTTTTTATGAATAAGTGGCCTTCCACTGTACATATATAGCACAATTTATCAATTTATGGGCTGATGAACATCTGGGTTGCTTCCAGATTTTGTCTATTATTGAATAATGCTGCTATGAAAATGCCTATACAAATCCTTCTGTGCACATGTTTTCCTCTGTCTTGGGTAAGCATGGAATCGCGGTGCGATATACACACTTAACCTTTTAAGACATTTTTGCTTCCTCCTAGATCTCACCCACAAATAGGTGTGTGCATGTGACAGAAACTGCTCCTTTGTGTTTTAGGATGAGCAGAAGGGGCACCTGTTCTGCCTATGTGTGAGGGTGAGAGGGGGCTGAACACGCTAGAATGGAGGACGGCGTTTCTCTGAAGTGGAAAACACACATCATAACAGTGAAATTCTTCCCAGTTTTTTTACAGGTGTCCTCTGGGTTTTTTCCCTGGAGTAAATGCCTGGAGCACGTTCTGCATAGGGATTAAGGAAGGAGGAAGAGCGGGCTAATGCCATCTTTAAGTGAACAGACACTCAATTCATCCCATTTGGTTCCCCCTACTCCTACTGTCCATACTACCCTCTGGCAGAGGTGCATCTCTGGGGTCCCTTGTCTTGTGGCAGTACCCACTGATTCTGGGCTGCTGCTTCCTCTCTCTGATTATTCCCTTCTAGGAAGCAGCTGAACACGCATTTGACAGTCTTCTGTTTTCTTCATTTGTGCTCAGTTTATTTTATTGGGGTCTTGGTAGAGAGGAAAGAAATGATTGTCTTTGGCCTGCAGTTCTTGCCTGGAAATGGGTGGCTTTGACTGAGTGAGGCCCTCTGGGACTAGGTCTATTGCCTGAAATTTTCCTCCCAAGCCATCAGTGACCTGCATGTTTAATACCTTCATGTCTCTTCCTACCCATCTCTCTGTAACATCTGGATGACCCCTTTCTTGCCCAAATGCTCTCTCAGTATCCACAACACTATGCTCCCCTGGCTGTCTGCTGCCTTCCTGACCATGTCTTTCAGTCTCATTTCCACACTTTGCTCTGCTCTTAAATATCAGTGGTTTCTTAAAATGCTTCTTCAGCTTTCTTCTTTCTCACTCTATAAATTCTCCCTGGCTTTTGTGACCAGGGTGCTCCGCTAAACCCCACACTTAGTGTTTAAACAGTCCCTCCCCTGAGACGTCTTCCTTTACCTGGCGAGGCTGGGGGAGATGCCCTGGCTAATGTCCCCATAGGACCTACAAGACTATTCTAGAACTTGTCACACTGCACCATGCTACGAGCTCATATATCTGTTTGCTGCTTCCCAAACACCCAAGACTGTGTTTTTCCTCCCTAGCAACTCAGCTGGCATATAGTTGGGGATCAGTAAATATGTGTGGTATGCTCTGTGTTTTATATGTCAGTTCTGCTAGTAACAGTAAAATTTGTACTTTGAAGAAAAACTGCCTGGTAAAGATAAACCTCAAGCTAATTAGAGAAAATCAAATTCTTAATGTATATAATATAAATTAATGATGCTGTATATAAATTAATGATGCATAGTTTCATGTGAAAATTATATCCTCTTCATTCTGTGGCAACTCTTTAGAGAATTTCTCCCATTAGAACAGGCTCATACTGTATTCATAGCAGCAGTGGACACAACAGCAAAAGCTACCCAAGAGTACAAGAAGCGATGACCAGATAAACAAAATGGGGTGCATACATACAATGGAATATTATTCAGCCATAAAGTGGGGGAAAAAGTCTCAAACACGCTATAATGTGGATGAACAGTGAGGACATATCAGAGAGTGAAATAAGTTAATCACAAAAGGAAAAAGGTCAACTACTGTATAATTTCATTTTTACGAGGTAACCTGGAGTAGTCAAACTCCTAGAGCAGAAAGCAGAATGTTGGGAAGGGGGACAGGAGATATTATTTAGTGGACACAGAATTTGAGCTTTATAAGGTAAAAAGTTCTGTAGGTGGATGGTGGTGATGGTTGCACTAGAATGGAAGTATAATTATTATTGCTGAGTTGCACACTTAAAAAGGGTTAAATTGGCAATTTTATAATACACATATTTTACCTCAATTAAAAATAAAATGAGGGGAATATAAAAATAAAATTTAAATAAAAAATTAAAAAAAGAAATAAAAGAAATAATCTGTTAATATTAAGGAACTTCAAAAAAATAAAATGAAAAGTGACACACACACAAATGCTATATTTTATTAGCATTTGGGAGGAAAATTTTCCAAACAAAATTCTACCTTATGTTTAAAATGAAAAATTAATCAAATTCTGGAGAGAGTAAGAAGAGGTATGCCAGTTATATGACACACTATGAGGATAAAAAAAAATAGAACTACAAATGACATCAATAACAACTTCCATCTACTGAAGTCTGTTAGAATCCAGGCATGTGCTAAATGCTTTATGTGGATTAATCTACTTGAAATGACTACAAGTGACAGGAGACATTTGCGATGGTCTCACAACTACAAAGTGGCAGAAACTATTCAATCCCACATGCTCTAAAGCCCACACTCTGACCCACGATCTGCCTGAGATACTTTAGGACCGGAGGGCTGGTGAGAAGAGAGATATAAAAACTTGCCCTAAGTCCTTAAACTTAAGAGCTAATGAAAAAAAATCAGTGATGTATGGAGCATGTTTGATGTGCTAGCACTTGTGGAATGGAAGCAATTCAAATCCGAGGACTACTGGGGGAGGCAGCGACATGCATGAGGAAGACGCAGGAAAAGCCCTGAGCTGCCGCAGAGAAAGGGACTGAACTAGAGTGGCTGCCCAGCCCTGCACAGCCCCTGACATGCAGATCTGACTACGCAGTGACTAAACAAAGCCAGTCAACCTATAAAAATGTAGCTTGTCTCCCAATGCATTTGAAAACAAAATGGTAAAAGGATCACCTTTGCTTTCTCCTCTCAAAGAGAAGGAATTTAAACAAATTTTGGCATTGATTTTCAAATCACAATAAAAAGGAAACTGGTTTCATGTTCAGATTTTGCGATAATTCATAATATTACAGGTATCACATCAAAATGTTCCCATCTTAAAGATCCTAAGAGGCACCATGAAATGTCAGCCGCCACATAAGATTCACACTGCAACTTGAATAGCTTCATTTTTCCAAATAGAGACTGAGAAAGGACAAGACACTGGCGTGACCTGCCCTGAAATCCAAATTCAAGCAGTTTCTCCTGCACCATCCTGCAGTTTTCTCCAAACTTAATATCTATCCCCACATCCTCTAAGAAGAAAACTCTTGTTACTGCCAAGAACTACAGAAATGTGTCTCACTTCCAGAGACTTAAAATTATTGCCACTTGCTATGCTTACCTCAAGAATCAAATTGATACCTTTATATATGCTAAGGTATCAAGTTACTTTTTCCCCTGTACTCTTAAGTATTTCTATGTGAATATATACTATACCTTGTTCCAATATCAAGCCAGCTTCCATAATCCTTGACCAAGAAGAAAAAATGCTGTAAAATAAAATAGGTTTCATTAAAAACAAAGACTATTTAGCATCTAAAAAGCATTGTTTCAGGAGTACGTGCTTCGGAGCTGACTCTACGATCTGACTGGAATCAATAAGAATATGCTTCTTTCTGAGATTTTCTGCTTATACTAAAAGCCAGAAATAGCATCACTATTCAATGAGATGAACACAAAAGTGAAATTTGTGAATAACTCGAATTCTTAAGCCAAAAAAGCCACCGGGGTAGCGAATAGATAGTGGGGGTTGATGGGCTGGTGATGGGAGGTGACATATATATACAGTTGCTGACCTGACGCACTGTCTGTACACCCACGACAAGCGTACACCATGTTGTAAATTAATTTTACCTCAATAAGAGAAAAATAATAAAATACATTGGACTTAAAAAAAAAAAAAACCAGCCAACTTTAATAAAAGACATTAAATAATACCAAAAGCCCCAGTGAAAAAGAGCCACATCACCCATTCATCAACAAATATTCACTGACTGCCTATAGGTGTTAGGTCTGGGAGAGAAACTCTCTCAGGAGGTGTATAATCTGGTGAATAATTCAAATTATCAGGAGCTTGGAGAGATGGAAGGAGAAATAAGTTTGTGACAGACAATGACTTATATAAACATCAACAGCCCAGGTAGAGCTTGGCAGGTCCAAAGTGAGGCTGGTGTAGAGAAACAAGGAGAGAGAGGTGAGAGGAAAGGCCTGTCAAGAGAGCAGAAACAAGCTGCAATGGCTTCACAAGGAAAAGGAATCAGATAATTTAAATTCTTTCCACTAATGTAATGTTCATCTTTTTTGTCAATTTGTAAGCAAAACTCAAAGCTGATTTGTTCTAATATTCTGTGTGATCAACTTCACTAGAACAGTAGCTAGGATAACCAATTAACAAAGCAAAATGCTCTCATCTAAATCAAGTGACCAGGAATGTGACTTAGGAAGTTACCCTAAGTGGGGTCTCTGGCCACTTCTGGCATAGGATGTTATGGAGCGAAGCACCAAGCCTGCCCCTAGGGAAGTCTGGCCTTTGCCTTCACTCCTGAGTGCGGATTTCTAGACCCTGGGAATGTCATGCCCAGTCAAGTGTTTTGCTTGTGGGATCTCAGCCACCAGACAGTCCAATGAAGAGATTTACGTAGGAGGCTTTGGGTACCGTGGAGTCATTTCCACCTCTAGAAGATTTGGAGATGAAAGGTCAGCATGGGAATCCCCTGGGACGAGTCTGGACACCACTGCCCCATGAGCCTGGCCGGCACAGCCTCCAGGCAGACTGTTACCTCAGCTTGGTGAGGGTCACGCTGTCCTGAAAAGACACGTGGAGGCTCTGCTCTGGGACCCCCCTGACTCTGCCCTCTGCCTCTTCTCGGCTGACTTTAATCTGTGTCCTTTCCTTGTCATAAACCGTAACTGCGAACATAACAGCTGTGTGTGTTCTATGAATCCATCTAAAGAATTATCAAATCTGAAGGTAATTCTGAACTTGGCAGGTCCTTTTTGTTAAAACACTACATACAAGGGGCCAACCGACATGCACCTCACTCAGAACTCATTTAAAATGACAGCTATTGTCTTGATTCGAAAAGCTCTATTTCCTCATTCCTTCATTCTTCCTTCCTTTTCCCCCCTTATTTTTCAATGTGATTATAGGGCTGAAAGTCAACATTTCACAAAGCAAAATGATGAATTATCTAAGGTTAGCTTCTGCGGTCAATTTCCTATGGATGGTTCATTTCAGACACAATGCGTCATGGAGGACTCAGTATAAAATGACAGACGTATAAATCAGGTTACTTTAATAAGAGCATTCTTACTGTGTAAGTCTTATAAAAAAAAAAAAAAAAAATAATAGAAATTTTTACGAGGGGGGCGGAGCAACATGGCGGCGAGGAGACGCTGCGAGTAAGATCTCCCATTAAAAAAAGTGAATAGGGAGGAAAAGCGGCAGGTCCCAGTGAGAACTGGGACACGGAAGATAAACGGGTGACGCCAGCGAACTGCCCGAAGAAGAAAGTGGCCATAAAAGAGGACCAGAAGGGAGGGAAGCGCAGAACCCTGCTCCCCTCCCCCGCCCACAGAGGCGGCACTCTCCGACCCGCAGAGAGGAGGAAACAACAAACCAAAACAACCAACAAGAACAAACGACGCAGCAAGCGGGACTGTGAGCGGAAAGGAACTATTGCAGCCACCACACCCCGTGAACGGGAGCTGAGGCGAACCCTGCAGGATCCGCCGCGGCGGTGAGCGAACGGCTCCGGGCGCCATTAGAGAAGAACAAAGACCCCGGGAGACGCGCACACAGCCCGGGCTGCCGGTAAGCCTGCGCGGGAAACGCGGCGCGCCTGGCGCACTTGAAAAGCAAGTGCAGACCGGGATCGCGGCTGCCCAGGTCCCCGCGCCTGCGACCTAGGCTTGCGGGGAGACGACCTAGGCTTGCGGGGAGACGCACGGAGGTCCTCACTGAGGTGAAGGTCCCTCCCTGAGTAAGCAGGAACCAGGCGCCCAGGCACGGGAGCCGGGTGCAAAAGGCGCCATTCCCGCGCCACTGAACTGGGCTACAGCCCGCGTCCTGGACCTGTGGGCTTTGAACTGAGACCCGCGGCACGAAAATTCGGGGCGTGGGTTCTCCACGACGGTGGGGCACAAGGCAGACACAGCACCCCAAAGCTGTTGAGGTGTACCCTACCATTCCCGCTCTGTTCTCTGTCCCACGGGGTGGGGGGAGGCGAAAAACAGCCCCCCAAGGACAATAGGAGAGATCTCTGGCGCCACCTAGCGACCAGGAAAAAAAAAGTCACTAACACCCTATAAAACAGGACATCTCTTAAGTCTGCTTGAAAAGGGCAGAAGGTTTCTGGAGGACCCAGTGGCCAGCCGGGAAGTTATTCCACACCAGGCCCCTTCCGACCAGCAGTCTGAGCCCACAGAGGGAGCAGGCACCCACGTCCGGGGCAGACCGGGTGCGCAGAAGAGTGTGCCTGAAACCGGAGGCGCAGGGACTGCATCCCGCTTCGCCATTTGAGAACAGGGACATTTCTTCAGTAAAAACTGCCTAAAACCAGCAGAAAGCTCCCCCAGAAGACAGAGATGGCTCCTGGAAGAGCCAGAGGGGAGCGGAGAAGTTCACCCAAGATGTCAGTCAGTCCGAGCAACACAGTGTCCCAACGCATACGACAAATTAGAAAACAGACAGTAGGGAGTAGAAGAACCACACGCAACCTAAAAACTCCTCAGGAAAGAAGCACACCACAAAAAGAAAACCACTCCCCAGATTGCAACGACAGCAACTTGGAAGAACTTCTGAGCCTTCCAGAAAGAGAATTTAAAATTGCCATGATTAAAAAAGTGATAGATCAGAAGAAGGAAATTGAGTCCCTAAAGAGGGAAGTAAGAGAAATGCAGGAGATCAAAGAATTAATGGAGGAACTAAAGAACTCTGGGAAAAGCAATGAAAGCAGAATAGATGAAATGGAAGAACGAATAAGTAATCTTGAAGACACAGAAATAAAAAGAACCAAAACAGAAAAGGAAAGAGAAGTACGAAGGAAAAAGAATGAAGAAAGACTTCGGGAACTATCTGACTCCATGAGGAAAGGAAATATAAGAGTTATAGGAATTCCAGAAGGAGAGGAGAGAGATGTAGGAACAGAGAAAATATTCATGGATATAATTGAAGAGAACTTCCCAAATGAGAAGAAGGAGCTGAAAATTGATATACAAGAAGCAAGAAGAACACCAAACTTCCACGACGAAAGGAAAAACACAGCAAGACACATAATAGTAAAGCTCCCAAGAATCCAGGACAAGGAAAAAATAATGAAGCTGACAAGAGGGAAGAAACAGATAACATTCAAAGGAAAACCAATCAGGCTGACATCAGACTTCTCTGAAGAAACACTACGGGCAAGGAGAGAGTGGAGGGACATAGTCAACAGACTCCAAGAAAACAGATGCCAACCAAGAATACTCTATCCCGCAAAGCTCTCTTTCCTCCATGAAGAAAGAATATGGACCTTCCCAGACAAAGAGAAACTCCGGAATTTCATTGCGACTAAACCCCCACTCCAAAAAATACTACAAGGAATCCTAAAGCCAGAACCTCAGAGGGACGAATAACAACAAAAGAAGACCAAAAAAAAAAAAAGTTATTAAAAGAATAAATAAATAAAATCAAAGGAAAGACAAACATAATGGCAAATACAGATGCTAACATATCAATATTAACTCTAAATGTAAATGGACTAAACTCTTCAATAAAAAGACACAGAGTTGCAGCCTGGATTAAGGAACAAAACCCAACCTTTTGCTGTCTCCAGGAAACACATTTAGCTACAAAAGATAAAAATAGGCTCAAAGTCAAAGGATGGAAAACAATCCTACAAGCAAATGGGCCAAAAAAGAAAGCAGGAACAGCTATACTTATATCAGATAAAACAGACTTCAAACTCAAAAAAATAAAAAGAGACCCCAATGGTCACTACATTATGATTAAGGGGACAATACTTCAAGAAGAAATAACACTCATTAACATATACTCACCAAACGAAAGAGCACCAAAATATATCAGACAACTGTTGTCCTCTCTGAAAACAGACATCAGAGAAAACACATATGTAGTGGGAGACTTCAACACACCACTATCAACAATGGATAGATCAACAAGACAAAAAATAAGTAAAGAAACTAAAGCTCTAAATAAGGACCTAGAGCATTTGGGCTTAACAGACATCTATAGAACACTAAACCCAAAAAAAACGGAGTATACATTTTTCTCAAGCGCACACGGATCATTCTCCAGGATCGATCACATACTGGGGCACAAGACAAACATCAACAGATACACCAAGATTGAAATCATACCAACCATCTTTTCTGACCACGAAGGCATCAAACTAGAAATAAATCATAAAAAGAAGGCAAGGAACTATCCTACCTCATGGAGATTAAAAGCCACACTACTGGAAGACCACTGGACTAACGAGGAGATCAA